TTCCAGGTCCTCTATTGCCAGCAGCAATGTTTCCATCCAAGTTTAGTTTGGATGACTTTGCTTTATAGTTCTTATTTTTAATTTTTTTTAACCACTTTACTAACCACCAAAATCTAAGTTGTGCTTTTATTCTCTTTTGGAAATTTGAACCTTCTATTCCTATTATTTAATCAATTTAAGTCAATAGTTAAGGCTAATCGATTGTTCATTTTGTGTTTTTAACGAGCTATTTTATTAAATACATGCAGTATAAACGCTAACCCTAAACCTTCCCCAGTGTTCTCTTACTGCGTTGTTTCATGCAGATCATAAAAACAACAACCTGATTTCTGAATGAAATAAATTATAAATCATCAGCATTATAATGTTTCCTGCTAGAGAGATGTTGGACTCTAACTCCAATCCTCCTCCTTGTTTAGGATTTTATATGACTATTACTTATGCAATTAAGAGGCCATTGTGGGGACATAACTAATGGAAGCTTATTTACAGGGAAACTTAAGTATAATTAATATTGCTTATAATCTTGATTTAGAGAGCTTATATAAATCTCTGTTGCAGATTTTATTTGATGCTCAGAGTTCAGCTGTGGGTTTAATGGTCTGTTATTAAAAATTGAAAACATATCAAATTATGTTATGAAATGGACACATATACTCAACATTTACATGATATGCACTACTTTGCTTTGCTTACTGCTTTCATTAATCGTCAGGTGGTGCGTCGCTATGAATAGATAGATGGCACTGTCTGCTTCAAAAGATGCTCCAATGTATCCTCTGCTAAAGGAAGCACACATGCGCCTTTCCTTAGCATCTAGAGAAATCAAACAGATACAGATACTCCCAGGTCAATTTGCTCAGTTAGGAGCCTTCCTATGTGAAATGATGACAACAATGATGTGCACGAACGCACTATCAAGACTGTCCCCCTCCCCTTTTAGCCTCTCTTCCTGCTTGTGTAATCCTACCTTTGCCTGGTAGCTTCTTAATCAGACTCGTTTGTTTCAGATCAATTTGTCATTTCCTGTTTTTTCTTTCTTTCTTTTCTTTCTATCGGTGGTGTATCTCTTCACCTGACCGGTTACCTGTGCTCTCTGCTGTCCGACTCCTCCTGAATCTGAGAGAGATGTCGAGCTCCAATCCGGCCCTGCAACACACACGCACACACACACACACACACACACACACACACACACACACACACACACACACACACACACACACACAGAGGGTAGAGTGTCAGTTAATTACATGTTGTCAGAGGACAGACGGAAGCCTGGAAAAGAAGGAGACAGTTACCGTGGTGACAGGAGACATCTGTCCATCAGTCTCCGGGCTGACAGACGACACCGGACACACACACACACACACACACACACACACACAGAGTAGAGATTAGGTGGTTATATCGGCTCAGGAACGCTACACCTGGTTTTTGTCTTTTTTGTTTTGTGTAGATTTACCTCACTGGTCCAACCAAATTAACCCAGAGAGGTCACTCCAGTCCTGAATGACCTCACAAGCTCTCAGCTGATGCTTTTGTTTGTTACCCAAGGCCTTTGAGTACCAGTCTGTATGAACTCACCATCAGTGTAATATACATTACAAAGTGGTAGTGTTAAATATGCAAAATGTAGATTTAAATTTTAACAGGTTGGGCCATCTTTGCAGCAACAACTGCAATCAAGCATTTTTGACAACAGTCAATAAGTCTTTGAGATCTCTGTGGAGGAATTTTGGCCCAATCTTTTTTGCAGAATTCTACAATTACAACAAGTCATACAGGTCCTCAAGTAGCAAAGCAGCCTCAGACCAGGATACTACTACCACCATGTTTGACTGTGATGTTCTTTTTATGAATTGCTGTGTTAGTTTTGCTCCAGATTTAATGTAACCCAAACTTTCCAAAAAGTTTAGCTTTTGTGTCATCAGTCCACAGAATATTTCCCCCCAAAACTTGGGGGTTCATCAAGATGCTTTTTGGTAATGTCAGACAAGCCTTTGTGCTCTTTTTAGTCAGCAGGGGTTTTCTCCATGGAAGTCTCCCATGGATGCCAGTTTTGCCCAGTCTCTTTTATTATTGAGGCAATGATCCACTCAGACTACTTCTGGTAGGCTGGTCACTCCTGGGTAGGTTCACAGATGTTCCATGTTTTCTCCATTTGTGAATAACGGTCTTTGTAACCCTTTCCAGACTGATAGATATCAAACACTTTGTTTCTCAGCTGTTTGTTTTTTTAAATTGTAACAGGATCTGTTTATTTTTGAGATCTTGAAACCTACTTCACTTTGTCACACAGGTTCTACTTAAGTAATCTAATCTAAGTGTGACTAATGAAATTGTACTCAGCTATCCAAACAAATATGGTTGATCACACTTAACTCGTGATTTTTAACTCAGGACCAGATAGGCTTGGATTATTTTTTTCCTTTATTAATAGAGGGAATCATCATTTTAACTAACTGTTATGATATGAAACTCACTTAATTCAATCTGCATTCAGTGTCAAAATCAAAAGTCAACGGACCCATGCAGCAGCTGAGAACTTAGGCTTTCTGTTTTCCTTATAATTTTTAAAAATAATGTTCAATACAGCATTTTTTTTAGTAACCACAAATAATGTATTTAAATAAAGAAAAACAACTCAGCAGATACTTACAATGTGCTGAGAGTCCATCTTGGTCCTTTGCTTTGTCTCTGTCCTGCAACTTTAGCTTCCTCTGTGCAGCTGAGCTGGTTCACTCAGATGCCTAATTAGCTTGGTGTTTCTGCTGCACCTCCTCCACCTGAATTAGTCATCAGTGTGTGTTTGTGTGTGTGTGTGTGTGCTTTCTGCTGAACAAACTCACATGGTCAAGAAACCAGATTCTCTTAAAAATTTATGTTCATACATACAGCACTTTGAATCATTCAGTGACTTTTAAAGGTGGCCTCTACATATTTTTGATGAAATACAGCAGTTGAGCCTAGAAATAATAAATACGCAAGCAAGCATGAGCATTACTTTGAGATAGGATGTTTCTAATTTGTATTACTTTAATTTTGAATGCATCTCCTTGATGTTTGTGTTAGCATGTTTCATCTTTCAAGTAGGAAACTTTCATTTGCATTTTTTACCTCTGAGCTCGTAGAATTCAAGAGGAAAACACTTTTCCCAACAAAATGTGACCAGTCTGTTTTAGAGTAAATACACACTGCACGCTGGATTTATGATGGAGGAGCCCATTTGTGAAGCTAAAACTGGCCGTAAACATAAAGTTACATTTTTTACCCAATAGTGGTGCAATATAGAAAGTCAGTAATTACAAGGTTTGATTACAGGTTGAAGTCAGGACCACGTTTACACTATGGTAATGCATAGAAAGTGGCACATCCCCATAAACTTGAATGTTGAATATAAAACTTACGAATTCTAAAAACACTTAACATTATATTTAAATGATTCAATAATCATTTTGTAACTAAGTGTTACAATCCCTGATAAAACATTGCTTCAAATGGTGAAAGTCTCGAGGAATGGCACCCGGAAACTTTACCAACAGGACACATCGTCGTGTGCCTCAACTTCAAAGGGTGTTTCGGTCTTTTATCACAAGCTATTCTGCCATTTCCTTGGTTAGGTTTATAGATAATATTTAAATATTTAAAATGAACTTTTATTATTTTAGGAAATGATGATTACAGTTATAAACCAAGACAAGTTAACCCTATGGCCATATTTGCATTTTGTATGCGTAAACTAGGAGGATAGGAGTGTTTGGCATTTGCCAGAGAACAGCAAGATTGGCATCTTCGCCACTGGTGACCTGTTCTCTTCACAGATGAAAGTAGGTTCACACTGAGCACATGTGACAGATGTGACAGAGTCTGGAGACACCGTGGAGAATGTTCTGCTGCCTGCTTGTGTCAGCAGTTCCTGCAAGACAAAGCATTGATGCTATGGACTGGCCCGCCCGTTCCCCCAGACCTGAATCCAAGTGGACATATCTGGGACATCATGTCCCGCCTGATCCAGGAGTTGGCAGATGCTTTAGTCCAGGACTTGGGAGAAGATCCCTCAACAGATAATCCATCATCTCATCAGGAGCATACCCAAGCATTGTAAGGAGGTCATACAGGCACGTGGAGGCCACGCACACTACTGAGCCTCATTTTGGCATGTTTTAAGGGCATTACATCAAAGTTGGATCAGCCTGCAGTGTGTTTTTTTTTTTTTTTTCAATTTTAATTTTGAGCGTGACTCACAATATGGACCTCCATGGGTTGCTAAATTTGATTTCCATTGATAAATTTTGTGTGATTTTTTTGTCAGCACATTCAACTATGTGAAGAAACAAAGTATTTAATATAAATTATTCATTCATTCTCATCTGGGATGTCGTGTGTATATAAGGATTTTTATATCTATCTACATTTTAACAGTTTCACAGACACAAGGAGGTAAAATTGCTCATATCAAAGAAAAACAAAAACAAATATTTGAGAAAAGGCAGAAAAATAGACAATTTAAAAATGCATATAAAAAACAAATTTTCACATGGCAGAAATATACTTTTTTTTAAATCTCGATGATCCCCGCATGTGTGCCTACACTTATCCTGTCTGAACTGCAGTCACAGTAAATCCCATCTCTGACTGGAAGATGGGTCGTTGTAATGTTTTTTATTTTTGGCATTTCCATGTTTGCCAGTCTGTGTAAAAGTTAGCACAAAACAAAGATATGAGTAAAATACATTAAATAATACAACGTCAAAGTTAATGTTTTCAACTTGTCGTTTTTTTGTTTTTTTTTAAATTAACCAGCCATTTTTCTAGAATAACAAACCTGCCCCCCCACCCCCCACCCCACCCCGCGAAACCCCCCAAAACAAAACAACCAAACATAAAAACTTGCAGAAGTGATTGGAGCATACTTGGATTTCTCTAATTGTCATCTTTGCAGAAATAAAGCAAATTTTCCATAAACATGTTTTTGTAATTTGTCTGTAATTATGTTTCTAAAATTCCGTGCAGTGTCTGTAGAAGTAGAAGTGGTAGTCTGTGAAGAGCGCCCCTGCGTATTGATAGTTGGTACTGCAGTCTGCTTGACCCTGAAGAAAGATATTGATAAGCATATACATTATTATAGCCCAACAGTCTGTAGGATCCATGTTTCTGTGAAAATATTTATATAAATAACATCAATAATGAAAATTTCTATGACAGGCAACATAAAATAAAATGTTTTTATAACACTAATGTTTCCATCAATGTTCTTAGTAAAAGTGAGGATTGTTTAAATAGTGTTTTCATGTTCATGCAGCAAGAAGAGGACTGTGTGTCTTTAAGGTTTCATAACCAGTGAAATGTAGGTCTTTTATAGAAGAAAAATTAATAATTTTTGGTTTCTTACAGCCACTGTTGAGCGGAAGTGATACCAGCTTTGATAAAGGCGAGCCACATGAAGAGGCCATTCATGTTCCCCCTGCCGAAAAAAGGCCAAAAAAGGTCAGTTACTATTTATTCAGCAAAACCTCTAATTTTCAATGGAAACAGTAAAAAAATGTCACATTAAGGTCAGAAAAACAATTATTTGAAGCTAATTCTGAATGAATGTTATCATGATCACTTCTTTGCTCATTTGGGGAATTAGCCCATAAAAGTGAAGAAATGGCCATACCTACTCAGATAGCAATTAAGAGCCTGGTTGCTGCAACTCATCTGCCAGTTCTCCTCCTTGACAAGTGTAGCATGGGCCACAGATGCCCACACTACACTTGTCATGAACCATAAGAAGTCTGGCTTGTGACATTTGGGCCAATTGATACCGAAGTGCTAAAAGTACCCCAGATTTTATATGTTTGTAAGATTGGAAGGAATATTAGTAAAATTCTCATTTTGTCTTAAGAAGATAAGCCAAACTCATCACTTCATATTAGAAGAAAGAAAAAGGCTTCAAACTTCCCCAAATGAACTAAATTCATTCCCAAAGTTAGAAGTTCAAAATTATTCTGAATTATTGATGAAGCTTTACTTAATTTTTGAGAATAATTAAATGGTTTTTGATAAATATAATATAGTTTTTAAGAGACTTAGTATTTAACTTTAAAACAAGGGCAAAATCAAACGATTTCTACAGCTGGGTTGATTTTCATCAGCGCTGCCCTTGATAATTACTTTGACAAGGCTGAAAATTCACTCAAAGTAAGTTTCACAGATCCAGATAAGTTTATTTCTTCTTTTTTATTCCAGAATCAGGACTGATTCATTTCATGCCTCAAAACTCACTTAGTAGAAAGAAAACCTCGACATAAATCTAAACGTATGACAAAGTATTGGTATGTTTGGTCTTCTGGACAGTCCTCTGTATATCAAGGTTTAAGTGTTACTGTGATTAGCATGTTGTCATCCCACTGTGAAGAAAACCTGCCACACATTCATTATTCATCAGTGATTGGCCCACACTTCCTGCATTATTAACTGCCACAGTGACTGAGTTAGTGAACTGGAACCTCAGCGGCCCTCAAAACAAATTTCTGCCTAACTGCCGAACAACCCAGGCCTGATAAATGGAAGAAAACTGATGAATGGGTGGATTGATTTTGACCAGCAATGTAACAAAAAAACGATGAAAAATGATCCATTAATTTGCATCTTCACACAGGCTTTTGTGTTTTAATACACAGCGTCACAGTAAACAATTAGATATTAAACACATTTCTGTATTGTCTCATATTTATAACATAGACATAGTAAACAATAATTTTATATATATATAGATATATATATAGATATATATATATATATATTTAATTTTCATGAATTAGAGCACTTATTTTTTTTTAAGTTCCAAAGTCTGGATGAATTTAATCTATTAAAACATTTTTTTTCAAATTTCATGTAAATGATAAGAAGTTATACTTAATATTGATTTATATTCTTAAAGATGAAAAAGCCTTAAATTAATGGAAAACAACGAGGAGATTCCCTTATTTTAAAAATGGCATTTATGTTCTAAAGAAGATAAAAGCTCAGATTACAAATAAAGAAAAACCCTGTTAATTATCCTATTGTTTTGTGTGAAGCTTTTACAGTTACATTTATATTTGCATGCTGTATATAAGTGACGTTTAGGGAAACAGATTCTTGATTCTGACCTGTGTATTTGATGGGTATCTGCTGTCAGACACAGCGCTGATATCCAGCTGAGCAGAACAGACTGTGGACTCATCAAAATTGCACAGATGGACTACCAACTCCTCTGTAGAGCTACATAAACCAGACACAGATTTATATACACAAACAGAAAATAACATTTATGTCAATTTATTTCAATGTCGCATGTAAATTGGCATTTGAAAATCTAAAGTGTCATTCCAACATTAGCAGATAAAAAGGGAATAGATTAAGCTTAAATATAAATAATAATAACAAGAATAACAAGAATAATAATATTAATAATACATGTTTTAATAGCATGTGTGAGTATATTAGGATACTTACTTCATGAGCAGGGTTACTTTCATGTTGACAGGAACAAACTCACTGACAGGAACTCTGAAGATGTATCGACTGGGGCTTAAAGGAAACAACAGAAGTATAACGTTATTCATTTTTACTACATATTTAATTAATAGCACGAGGTTGCATGTATCATTACTGAGGACCTGCCAAAATTTAATTGAGATTTTACTGGCATTTAAGATTAAAGGTCTTTTTGACTTTGACATCGACATCCACTCCACATGCACAGTCAAGCATTACTGCAGCCTGTTTTCTTAAAATATCATTTAAGTTTATATGATTTACATAAATGTAAATCACGCAGAACTTTACTGTCTCAAGTTTAAATCTCTCTTACAACAAACTACCTTTTCACAGTCTTCTCACTCTTTTTACAAAAGTGTCTCCTTGCTAAAGATCTAAGAAGGATGTCCAGTAGATGGAGACAGTTACATCACAAAGGTGTGAAAACTTTCACTGTGGAACTATTTTGCAATAATTGAGTCTATATAAAGACATTTAACGTAGTGCTTTAGAAGAGAGTGACATGACTCTCAAAGAATCCTATAGTGAACTTTATGGGAGAACTCTGCAACAGCAAAGGTAATAATAAGAGCATTTTATTTGTGCATGCTTTTTAAGGCACTCAGGGACACCTTACAAGCAATTATATACCAAAATCACAAGCATTACAGATAAAATAACAGTTGGCAAGCGCCATAGAAATAAAATGTTGACATAGGAAAACCTCAGCAGATTTTTTACAACTTGCTGGTGATAGAAGTATAACAAGGAACTCCTTAAAATTAAAATTTACGAGATTTGAAATTAAATTTTGCTAGTGGTTCTCTACATGTTCATATTCATATTCCGTGACCACTGAATATAAAGGCAATAGTTAAAATGACAGCTCAAAGGTGTAGAGTGGCCAAAGAAGATTTTGGGAGTGCATTCTTTCTTTGTTACGCCCACGATCCACACAAAGAATAAACAAGGGCCACCAATTTGCCCACGAGCTGCACTTGGAGAGCCATGGCTTAGGATGAGATTTAACCCATAAATGTTTGATATTGGGACAAAGTCCACTTTATTTGGCTCTCATGGTGAATCTGGTTATTTAACAAGCTCACAAAAGCTGAAACACCCTTTTTACAGCAGTGTTATCAAATGAAGAATATACTGAACAGTCTATAACCTGCATACAATCACAGTGTGTTTATGTTCGCTTTCTCTACTTACCCACATTCGTCTCTTAGGCAGTATTTTCTGTCAATAACCAGCTGGCTTTCTTTGATGGTGATAGAATGGATAGTGGTGTTCGTCCCTGATAGAAACAGAAAAACAGATGTATAATTTATTTATTTTTTTTAAAGAAAAAGAACAAAGAAAATCATAGGAGCATTACTGGTGTCACTCAGACTGCAGTTCTCATGCAAGTAAATGATGATAAATGAAAAATTATGAAATTTATGACCAGAAACAGCATCAAAAATCCAAGTCCAGGAATTCAAGGTTCAAGTTTAACATGTAATAAACATCCTTTATTTTAGTGGACTAGAAACATTAGGCAATGCATCATCTTCCCTGTGACCCAGTATATACTGCTGCTACATGCACTTATGAAACCTCATGCCAATCAGGTTCAGATCAGGCAGGGCACTCACACTCCAAGTCTCACTGTTATTGCCCAAAAGACTGTTCCCCAACCCAAAACCACAAGGAATGTCATGGACATCAAGAAAGGGGAGGAGAGAGAGGAGGCTACATGTGGGCAAATAATGTAAAAAATGGCTCCTAGGAACATTTGGTGTTGTTCTTACTCTAGTTCTTACATTAAGTTACATATTGCAGCAATAGATGGCAGAAGAGCAACCACCGCCCAAACACTGTGGACCCACGAATTGGTTTTATATTGGTTTTCTGGGTATATTTTTTGGCTTTTTCTCTGCTCATTTTTGCTGTGTAAGATTATAACTTTCAAGGATTTGGCTTCCTTCCTATTCTAGTACATCTACATGGAAGAGAGATAAACGCATTGTGGCCAGCCTCTCTCCTCTCAAGATTAGCATAAAAAAGCATAAAAAATCCAGTTATTTACTAAATGCATGGATTAGAGGCGAGCTGCTGATAACATTGGGACTGAAGGAGGAGGGCTTGACGGCTAGGCCACGCAACCAAGCAGGCCTTCAGAGGGAACACGATCGGCATCAGCGGGACTGAAAAGCAGCTGGAGCTGGGAGGGTCTCCTCCCTGACTCCATCCAAGCTCTGTTTGCCTTCTAAGTAATACTGATAGGAGCAGAAACCCGGACTATTTAAACAGATGTCCCTATAGCCAGTTTTGGCAACTGAAGATTGATCCACCAAGGCATCTGCTTACAATCAGTCCACAAAGTATTAAACCCCTATGGCTCCTCCTGTGGGACCAGAGGAGGATTGAGCCATTTGGTGCATTCATGCTGAACCCAGAGGAGTTGCATGCATTAAGACCCGGTGTGCTCTGAAACCGAGCTCTCGCCCACTGCCAGGCCCAGGCCTAGGCTGGGGTACTAGTATCTCTGGTCGAGGTGAGGCTTCATGAATCCTTGTTGAAGGATCTTTTGAATAACACTTTGTTTTTCCCTTCTAAGTTAAAATCAGTCAAAGATCTCTCAATAACTTTAATATATGAATTGAAACTATATAAAATTTTACTCACAGTCTCCAGCACTTTTCAGTTGTCCATAAAAATCTTCAATGTTTTTTTCTGAGGAGCAGAAATATCAAATGGTGAACCAAAAATCAGTTATGATGAAATTTTCTTTTAACGTAAGCAAGAACTAGAGAGTGAAATAACTTTACCTTTCATAACAGGTATTTCTGTTGATTTGGAGATGTTGATGTTTGAGTTAGTGGTTCCCTCTGTTGATGAAGGGCAGCAGTACACCTTATCACAGTATAGCAGATCACAGAAGTCCACAGCAGGGGGCCAGAGGCCAGGACTACCAGTTGGCAGGACTGGAAGAGATTTATCGTATTATTACTTTGTTTTCTCTGTTGCCACTGCTATTGGAATTCAGAAGCACTGAAAAAGCTCTGAAATAATTTAATCCGAGTATTTAGGTGAGTGTATTTAGGTCTCTATCTGATCTCTAAATGCTTATAATACTATTTACACCATTATTTGTCTTTGTCCTTTTGGCTTTAGACTCAGTGTTAAAAGGCATAACATTACCTGTGCTGGTCCATGATGAGGTTTGCAGAGGAGTCTCAGTAGTATTACTAACACACAAAAACATAAAACTTGTTGGTTAACATAACAATAATAATGGAGACAAGCTAACAAGTACTACATTTCAGAACTTTTTAGCACCCTTCATTTTCATTTGTCATTTCAAGGGGTAAATAATGCTGGAGCTTGCAAACAAACAAACTTTGACACTTAAAAATAGTCCAAGTCCAATAAAATGATCAGTGTGGCTGTCTCCCCAGGTGCTATAATAAAGTCTGGATATTTAGGATTTTTTTTGCTTTACAAAGTGAAGTAGAGTTATCAGGAAGCTAGCCAACTAATAGAAATTTGAAGATGATATATTACGTTCTGACCAAAATATGTATAAAATAACTAAACTGTACAGCATTTCTGTGACGATGGACATAAATGAAGACAAAAAACAAAATACCAGTTATGTTTGGAGGGTTAGTTAAGGGCCATTTCACACATGAGGCTACCTGGTGGCTACGGAACAATGGCAAGGCTAACGTAAGAGAAGAGGGTAGACTTCTTCTCAATAAATGTCCATATTGAGACAAATGTCATCATATAGCATAAATGCATCAAAAACAATCAGAACAGCCAAGAGTGTCACGGACCCAGTTCCAGGGATTCGGGGTCCGTGAGCAGTCTGGACCGCTATTGTAGTTTTTATTATTATTATCGTGGTTATTGTGATTATTGTTATTATGGTTGTGTCTGCTGTCCTGCTTTCCATGTTGGTGTACTGTCAGGTGTTTATGTGCATGTGTGTGTGAGGGTGCGGTCGTGGCAGGCACTTTTAGGCCTGGTG